CTCCCGGTTATTCACCGTTGGGTTTTATGCCTACCAACTCAGTTGTGAGGCTTTTTCTATCCACTTCGCTGGTTTCGTCTGCTTTACCCTCTCCTCTCCTTCCCTCAACTTCCCAAGCCTAGGATGTTAACTGGGGCTTGCGAGCCAGGATTAATTCACCACACCGATCAGTCGGCGATTTTAATAAACAGAAGGGATTAACAGGTGCTTCACTCGATTCCTGTACTGCAACCAATATGGCCCATACTTCGCCAAACATCTGCAAAGAAAATCAGATTTTTAATTTTTCTTTCTTAAAACTCATTAAGTTTGAGCCCAGATGAGTGCAGAATATCCCTGCAAAGTTTCAGCTTCGCAGCTTGCCTGATAAATGAAATCACTGCCTCTCTACAAGTATCTTTGACGTGCCCTAAGGCGTGGCCCGAGTGCATTCCGAAACTCCACTTAGGTATACGATTTTTCAGATGGACGATAAATATTCTAACAAAATTTCAGTTATGTTTTCTGATTAGCTTTCGAGTTGGTATTGTGCCAACTGGGAACATTGACGTGAACGCAAGTGCGATGCAAGCGTGCGCACCAGCTGAATTGCATTCTTTAGCTCACACATGTACAGAGAATACCTCAGCAAAATTTCAGCACTCTGTCTTATCTGATTTCCGGCATCGCTTTCTCGCCAAAAAGTGTGCATATTTTTTAAGGCATCTGTAGATGAGACCCAGGCGTATGCGAATGATAATATTACCCAGGCTGGAACACGCCAGGCTTGCCGGTGCGATCACGCGTTTTTGCAATAAACTCGCAGATCGATAATAGCAGGAATGATCCATGTGCTGTTGCCTAACGCTTGGGCTCATATTGGCCGTGTTCCGGTCTCTTCCGGCGTGCACCAGTAAGGGCGTCGGTTGGGATGAAGGTGCTGCACTATAGGACAGTGTGGACCTCCAGGTACACGATTATCAGTTTTTTGCATGAAGCCCGGCCGCTTTTCTGGTAAATGCTCGCTTTTTGAAAAAATGGAATTTCCAATTCACTGTAAAGTAGAAACGTTGTTGGAGCCGTCGTTTCCTCAAAACCCGGCTGGAACGCACCAGGCTAGCCCGTGCGACCATGCATTTTTGCATGCAACTTGAAGCAATTAGGTTAACTGCATGAATGTTTGTTTCTTCACACCTGCCTTGTGCGCTCAATACCGTAAATCATCGTAAATTTTCCATAAACGGAAATGAACAATT